AATCTTATTTGTTTGAAGTAAAATTTTTTCAAAAATGTTAATTGTTTTTAAAAAAATAATAATTTTTGGTACGGAAAGTTCCAGCAATTCGCCTTAAGGCACGATGCCTTAATTGCCTTAAGACAGAATTCCACTTACAGCTAGTTTGCCTATTTTTTAAAGAACTGTGTATAAAACTGATGAATAGCTACGGTTCTTAAGAGGTTTCTGTTGAATTTTATTACCAAATGAAATCAGTGATCAATAAAAATATTGAACGAATTTAAAAAATATAACATTTTATAAAATTTATTCATCTGACTATTTTTTACCGATTCTCATGAAAAGCTCATTTCAAGGAACAGTTTTCAGCTTGTCCCGTTTGGATTTTATTGCAAAATGAATGAGAATTAAAATCCGGGCCTTTTTCAAAGTAGTGGGTTGACGCAGTGATGTCTACGGTGTGAGGGCTGAAGCGTTACGACCGGGATATTAGCGTAATAGTAGAAGAGCCAGTGAACTATTTGACTAACCTGTTTTCACAAAGCCAGAATTTTTTTTAATGATATTTTATTATCGGCCCATTAAGAAAATACCATTCTGGCAGTCATTCCGCGGTTGCGTCATCATCCCTTCAATTTGTGAAAATGTAAAAAAAAAAATTTTTATAACTTGCTCGCACAAGGCTCAAATTTTGAGGGTGTCTTCTTTTAACTGTTCAGAAAGCATATGTAAAAAGCCAGCCCATTCTGACGGTTGCAAGGGTCTGCCAGACGAGTACATAATAGTCATGACGCGCAAGGGTGTGGGCGCATTGCCATACATAATTGACTAATACCCTTGTATTTGAATAATTTATACGCCATTTTGAAGGTCATCTTGAAAACATCCGTTATACCAAACTTCAACTTTGTATCTCACCTTATGGCCGAGATATCATTGAAAATATGCCAAAGTGGCCCCTTTTTCAAACTCAATTTTTGGCGTAACCATAAAAGATATCGAAAAAAAAATTACGTGATTCTACTCATATTGGCTTAAACCATATAATGTATAGTAATATATGCTAAATAATCCTTTATTATTAGCTAAAAAGGATAAAATAATTTTTCAATTAATGTTTTCGGATAGTGCGTTTTGTTTAATTACTTTATTATTAGCGTTATTTAAAAGCTTATTGTTTTCTCTTTTAGTACTGCAAATATGGTTTAAATCAAATTTGTGGAACACATTGAAAAATTGAAGAAACCAGAACCAGTACACCCGCGCGTAACGCTAATAGTAGCCCGCATAGAATTCGTTCGGTCGGATGTGCGATGCGTTACGCGCGGGTGTACTGGTTCTGGTTTCTTCAATTTTTCAATGTGTTCCACAAATTTGATTTAAACCATATTTGCAGTACTAAAAGAGAAAACAATAAGCTTTTAAATAACGCTAATAATAAAGTAATTAAACAAAACGCACTATCCGAAAACATTAATTGAAAAATTATTTTATCCTTTTTAGCTAATAATAAAGGATTATTTAGCATATATTACTATACATTATGTGGTTTAAGCCAATATAAGTAGAATCACGTAATTTTTTTTTCGATATCTTTTATGGTTACGCCAAAAATTGAGTTTGAAAAAGGGGCCACTTTGGCATATTTTCAATGATATCTCGGCCATAAGGTGAGATACAAAGTGGAAGTTTGGTATAACGAATGTTTTCAAAATGACCTTCAAAATGGCGTATAAATTACTCAAATACAAGGGTATTAGTCAATTATGTATGGCAATGCGCCCACACCCTTGCGCGTCATGACTATTATGTTCTCGTCTGGCAGACCCTTGCAACCGCCAGAATGGGCTGGCTTTTTACATATGCTTTCTGAACAGTTAAAAAAAGACACCCTCAAAATTTGAGCCTTGTGCGAGCAAGTTATAAATTTTTTTTTTTTTTACATTTTTACAAATTGAAGGGATGATGACGCAACCGCGGAATGACTGCCAGAATGGTATTTTCTTAATGGGCCGATAATAAAATATCATTAAAAAAATTTCTGGCTTTGTGAAAACAGGTTAGTCAAATAGTTCACTGGCTCTTAGACTATAACGCTGCCTCGTGCCCGACACGTGTGCGGACTTATTGCTTGTTTCGACGATCGCTGTTCCAACGCCGTCAACGTTTCACGGTGATTTGAGAATACTTGTATAGATATATAGCAATATAATGCACTTATAATTTCCATTTGCCGGAGATTAAAATATGAATTTAATACTGGGCTTATTAATCGACATCTCTAACGCAACTCTTTTATATGCACCAGGATATAATATTTGAATAGCATTTATGTATGTGTGGCATTATTACTTTTTTTAATTCTTATGGTACATAATATTACTGCAACTTATAAGCACTTTGAACATACTTAATTATTCACACATATGCACGTATATGCATATGTATAGTTTTATTATATATAAGATACATATAACACAGATTCAATTTAACTTTCAGTAATTTGACTGTGTAAACCAAATAAAATAAATTCCAGCACATAACACGTATGAACTAACTATCGAACTATGTTCAGTAAAATTTCTAGTCAATTCCTAATTATAGAAATATTTTTTGTAGCTACTTCATTATTTTCCCAATGCAAAAAATAAATTTTATGGGCACATTTTTTATAAAAATCACACTGTGTAAAACCCTGATCAGGTATTTTGTCAAAAATATTCATCAGCAGAGTCGGATTAACTATCAATTTAATTTATCTTTTGTAAAATTTGCTTTTTCAACATAATATTTGTATTCACTATTTTCTTATTATTTACACCTCTGGCAAAGTACTGGTTCAATTGGCCCTTTTTACCACTCACACATAAACGCTTATAGAGGTTATAAATACAACAATTTAATCTAACTCAAAATTAACAACATATCTTATAAAATAATTAAATAACGTATACCCAAAAAATATTCACAGGTACCGTAACTTAAATAAAAGAGCTCAAAACCAAAAAAAATCTACCAAGTAAAAAAATACTTTACAGTACAAAATTTATGTCTTGTTTAATCATTTTTAATCTAAAAAAAAAAATGCATATGCTATTAATTTAGGATAATGTCTCAACGTATGGACAAGTTAAAAACAATGTTTTTTCACAAAAAAGGAACTTTCTAAAAAAAACAATACTTTTTACAACTTTTTTTGATATTTCACATTTTTTTGAAAATGGTTAAAATCTGAAAATGATGATGAGTTTATATTGAAGAGAAGCCTGTAAAACACTTGTAGTACTATAAAATATTTGAAGTGAATCGGTCCAGTAGAAGTTGAAAAATCGTTTGTATTCGATACAGAGACAGTTTCAAGAAAAACATTTTTAAAATTCCGCGGAGAAAGGAAAAAGGGAGAATTATCGTGGTAAAACAACTATATCTCCGAAAATAATTTAAATTTTGAAAAATTCTTTGGTACCACATATTCTTAAATAGTTAAACTTTGAAAATATCCAAAAAACGAAATCGATTTTTTACTTTTTTGCCAGAATAACCTCTTAAACTATATATCTGCAAGTCGTATGTTATATGGATGGCAACATGTAAATTGTGAATAAACTATAGTGATATGAGTAACGTACGTTGTGTTGTTCCTAATATGTTACCATTATCTAAGTCATTTTATTACGGTCATTGATCTTTAAACCAAAATCCTGCAAATTATGTCGATCAATTCAGCAGCCAACAAGTATGTATCATTACCATAAATGCCCAAATGGCATGTGCGCCCGTGCGTGCTTGTATACGAGTTCAGCTCTCCATGTGAATCGCTGCACACCATACACCTCCACCGTTCGAGATACACCTCACCGCTGCCGCACTCGGAGTACCGCCACCGCACGGCTATATCTATTTTGCCTTTGATCCGTGTAAACTCGCGACCTCAGTTTTAATGAATCATTTGCCAGCGTTCTCTGTATTCAAAGCGGCCGAATCGCTTTGACGGTCGCATCACGTGAGACTAAGCATATTAGGGACGGTTTACATTTTCACGGCTGAGAGAAAAGGGCGCTGAGCGTTCCCTCACACTTCTTTGCATGCGCTAGTGGCAGCAAAGGAACCTTTTCTAACTAGCGGAAAAGCGCAAAAGTTGTACAAATAAACTCATGTGCAGTAGTTTTGGTAAATGACATGTTTGCGTAATTTAGATTTGATAATTCTTTGTCATTTATATATCTTTTTTACGTCTAATAGCACATTACGTTGTTGGTATGGTGTTGGGGGAAGATACACCAAAATCAAAACTGTCGTCATTTTTGGTGGGCATTCTGAAAAATTGGAAAATAAAAAAAATCGTAAACTTTGAAATTATTTTTTAAAATAAACTCTTCGACTGTTTAACTTTTACACAATATATTTTTGAAATGATACCATAAGATCTTAAAATTGGTATATTTTTTCAAAAATGTTTTTATTTGTAAAACAATAATAGGGCAGCCTTTTTTCTTAAAAAAATATGATGTTAGAAAAGTTTCATTTAGAATTGCATATAAATTAGTTTTAAAAACATATATATCTAAACATACTTTTTTGGTTAAATGTTTGGTCTCAACTCTCAACGCTTGCCACTTACTTTAATTACCGCTTGCCACAGGTGCGGTTTCCATAAGTAAACGACGATTTCTGGTGCGGTCTTTATAGTGTGATGGACTTTTTAAAGTAACTTTAAAGTAATATTTCTATTGCCATATCTAAATTCATATTAAAAATGCAAGTAAGTTTTTTTTTATTGTGCTTTTGATCTACTTATTTGCTCGAAAATACCAACATTATTCTTTCACCAACACCATACGTAATATTGCTATTTTATTTAAAACTGCTTCAAATTAAATGCTTTATCTTTATCAACGACATACTATTAATACTTATTGTACTATTATGTCATTTTGAAGAATTATTTGGTGTATATCAATAATTATCATCGTAATAATTCTGCAGACCATCTTAGATTATAATTATTTATCTCTCAGATGACGTCAGTCAATCGTGTTTACCGCAGCCTTGCTGCTCAAAAAGAGCGACAGCAACAAGAATCAGTTATAAATCGGCCCGGGCCACCACCTCCTGGTGACGTAACAGCCGCAGCAGCAGGCTGCTGTCAGCAAACAGCAGCAGCACCTTGGTATCACCAGACTACTGGCGCTATATCCGGAGCAGGAACAGGAACGGGTGCAATGCCCGGACTGCCACCACAGCAATCTCACAGTCCAGCGTGCACAGTACTCCAAGAAAAATTACATCCGAAAGGAGGTAAGTTTTAGTTGATAGCAATATAAATTGTTTTCAAACTCGATAAAAACAAAATAAATTGTGTATATATTGAAAATTTAAATAATCAAAGGAACTTGTCGGATTGTTTTTATTTTAGCGAAAAATTGCGATATTGTTTCGTAAAATATTTATATATGAGCATTTTGCATTTTCTACTTCAAAAATATTTTTATTAACATTATTAGTAACAGCCGCAGCAGCAGGCTGCTCTCAGCAAACAGCAGCAGCACCTTGGTATCACCAGACTACTGGCGCTATATCCGGAGCAGGAACAGGAACGGGTGCAATGCCCGGACTGCCACCACAGCAATCTCACAGTCCAGCGTGCACAGTACTCCAAGAAGGAGGTAAGTTTTAGTTGATAGCAATATAAATTGTTTTCAAACTCGATGAAAACAAAATAAATTGTGTATATATTGAAAATTTAAATAATCAAAGGAACTTGACGGATTGTTTTTATTTTAGCGAAAAATTGCGATATTGTTTCGTAAAATATTTATATATGAGCATTTTGCATTTTCTACTTCAAAAATATTTTTATTAACATTATTAGTAACAGCCGCAGCAGCAGGCTGCTCTCAGCAAACAGCAGCAGCACCTTGGTATCACCAGACTACTGGCGCTATATCCGGAGCAGGAACAGGAACGGGTGCAATGCCCGGACTGCCACCACAGCAATCTCACAGTCCAGCGTGCACAGTACTCCAAGAAGGAGGTAAGTTTTAGTTGATAGCAATATAAATTGTTTTCAAACTCGATGAAAACAAAATAAATTGTGTATATATTGAAAATTTAAATAATCAAAGGAACTTGACGGATTGTTTTTATTTTAGCGAAAAATTGCGATATTGTTTCGTAAAATATTTATATATGAGCATTTTGCATTTTCTACTTCAAAAATATTTTTATTAACATTATTAGTAACAGCCGCAGCAGCAGGCTGCTCTCAGCAAACAGCAGCAGCACCTTGGTATCACCAGACTACTGGCGCTATATCCGGAGCAGGAACAGGAACGGGTGCAATGCCCGGACTGCCACCACAGCAATCTCACAGTCCAGCGTGCACAGTACTCCAAGAAAAATTACATCCGAAAGGAGGTAAGTTTTAGTTGATAGCAATATAAATTGTTTTCAAACTCGATAAAAACAAAATAAATTGTGTATATATTGAAAATTTAAATAATCAAAGGAACTTGTCGGATTGTTTTTATTTTAGCGAAAAATTGCGATATTGTTTCGTAAAATATTTATATATGAGCATTTTGCATTTTCTACTTCAAAAATATTTTTATTAACATTATTAGTAACAGCCGCAGCAGCAGGCTGCTCTCAGCAAACAGCAGCAGCACCTTGGTATCACCAGACTACTGGCGCTATATCCGGAGCAGGAACAGGAACGGGTGCAATGCCCGGACTGCCACCACAGCAATCTCACAGTCCAGCGTGCACAGTACTCCAAGAAGGAGGTAAGTTTTAGTTGATAGCAATATAAATTGTTTTCAAACTCGATGAAAACAAAATAAATTGTGTATATATTGAAAATTTAAATAATCAAAGGAACTTGACGGATTGTTTTTATTTTAGCGAAAAATTGCGATATTGTTTCGTAAAATATTTATATATGAGCATTTTGCATTTTCTACTTCAAAAATATTTTTATTAACATTATTAGTAACAGCCGCAGCAGCAGGCTGCTCTCAGCAAACAGCAGCAGCACCTTGGTATCACCAGACTACTGGCGCTATATCCGGAGCAGGAACAGGAACGGGTGCAATGCCCGGACTGCCACCACAGCAATCTCACAGTCCAGCGTGCACAGTACTCCAAGAAGGAGGTAAGTTTTAGTTGATAGCAATATAAATTGTTTTCAAACTCGATGAAAACAAAATAAATTGTGTATATATTGAAAATTTAAATAATCAAAGGAACTTGTCGGATTGTTTTTATTTTAGCGAAAAATTGCGATATTGTTTCGTAAAATATTTATATATGAGCATTTTGCATTTTCTACTTCAAAAATATTTTTATTAACATTATTAGTAACAGCCGCAGCAGCAGGCTGCTCTCAGCAAACAGCAGCAGCACCTTGGTATCACCAGACTACTGGCGCTATATCCGGAGCAGGAACAGGAACGGGTGCAATGCCCGGACTGCCACCACAGCAATCTCACAGTCCAGCGTGCACAGTACTCCAAGAAGGAGGTAAGTTTTAGTTGATAGCAATATAAATTGTTTTCAAACTCGATGAAAACAAAATAAATTGTGTATATATTGAAAATTTAAATAATCAAAGGAACTTGACGGATTGTTTTTATTTTAGCGAAAAATTGCGATATTGTTTCGTAAAATATTTATATACGAGCATTTTGCATTTTCTACTTCAAAAATATTTTTATTTGCGCGTATTACGTACAATTCATTCGACAAAAGGCACAAAGGCAAACCGTGAATATCGCATTCTGCGTACTATTAAAAAACAAAAAATATATATTCAATGTATTCTCTTTGTGGAGTTTTCAACAAAGAGGAACATTCAGGATAGCCCTCAAACGATTTTTTGCACGAGTCGGATAAGAACAGCTTCGGAAATATTTCGCGTAGCTTTTAATACAATTGCAAGAGCGGTTCGAATTTTAAAATCACATCTCAAGTATATCTGTTTAAAAGTATGTGGATTAAAAGTATTTTATTGAGTTGGAAAAATATCTTCAACTATATCTGTCTACTACTTTTATTGATATTGTTTTATTTTTATGTAATATATAATTTACGTAGGTTGATAGTCCTGACATCTTTGAATAAACATTTTAATGTAGAGGAGCGAGGGGTTTGTTGTAACAGTTTTTTTTTTAAATTATATATTTTGCGATCCACTGATTATATTTGTACAAAATAAATATCAATAAACACGAAACTATTCCTCTACCGAATCAAATAAAAATAAATTCATTACTGCTGTTCATGATTTCGCAATTAATCAATTTTTAGGAAAATTGCGGCGTTACAACTTACCCCGCATTTGGGGCTAGTAGTAACAATAAAAAATGACAATATTTCTGATAATAAATTCTTTATTTGATTTTAATAAAATTGACTTGTTTCAAAGCAATTATTTTCATAAATCAACGTGAACTATATTTAATACCACTAAAATGTCTCCTGCAGAATTTACATATGCTCACTGCTCACATCTTACAACTATACGTTTCATCCAATGTTCTTCACTTGAATCTGTATAGGCTCACTTTAAACCAGATTAACCATTCTTGTAGTTACAACTAGCCTACAAGGTTCTGTTACAACTAATCTCATTTATTGCATTATTAATCAAGTTAACTATTTAAACAACTTAGTAGTCACCAAAATTGTTGCACACATGTTACACATCACCAAATATTGATGAATTTGAAACAAAATAAGAAATATAATATTTAGCCCTTTCGACTCGGATGCCGCCGCTCCGGAATACCGTTGCGCTCGGAATTTTATAAATAAATATATAACAAAATTAATTTATTAGCTCATGATCCCTATAATTCTAATAAAGATCTGTGAAGAAATGATTTTTTAAACAATATAGCATGGTTTTGAGTGCATTTTTTTTTAATTTTCAAAATTTTCTATTTTATTATCATAATAACTATATTTAAAAGCAATATAACCACATTTTGAAAAAATCCGATACAAAAAAAAATCCGAGTTGAGAGATAAGTATAGCACTATAATATTCCGAGCGCAGCGTGCCGACTGGCAGTCCGACTCCCGAGTCGAAAGTGTTAAAACTAGGCGATAATAATAGCGCAAACTGAAATATTATGATAGTACAATTTCACATTGCCTGACAAAAATGACACGGCTGCTCACTTTCGTATACTGCGTCGGCCTGCTGGTCATTGGCAATGTTGACCTAATGCGGGAGTGCTTACATTTCTTCCAAACGAGACAAAGAAACATTTTAATATCGTTTAAGATCCTATTGAAGAAAACTTACTTACCCCTGTTACAATAAGTCCCTACTATAATTATTTAAAAAATACGTACAATATTTTTGCTTATTAATTCAATTATTCATTTATTACAATAAATTTGTGTAAAGGGTAGGGCGGGGCACAAAGGTAAGTTTTAATTTATCTCTTGTAAAATTGTTTTTTATTATCTTAATTTACTTTTGTATGCACTCTTTTTTAATGTTTACACCTTTGCCAGGGTAAAGGTTCAGTTGGTCTCTTTACCCCACCCACGTGTAAGCTTTTATAGAGATTATATAAAAAAAACATTTGTATCGAACTTAAAACTAACGTTACATCTTACAAAACAATTAAATAACGTATACTTAAAAATTATATAAAAGTTTCGTATACTAAACAACAGTGCTGACAACCAAACATTACCGTTTATCTCCCGATAGCAACCTCATAAGAATGGAGGTGATGGCTAATTACACATCTTTTTGTCTCTACTTTTAAATATTATTTTCAAAAAAATCTTGTTTTTGAAATATCGGTGATGGGCCTTTTTACACGCGGATCTTTAAGCTCCGTTCTACCTTTTTTTTTTAATTAAATTTGTATGTAATAATCAGAATAAAGTAAATAATTCTATGAGCTACCGCGAGAACACAATCTAAACAAATCTATAATGTAAAGTAAAGAAAAAACTAGTGGGGCGCATGGCATTGTGCCTTAAGGCAAATTGCTTACGGAACTTCCCGTGCCGTAACGAAATGTTCGAGAAATATTGATTTTTTTTAAATAGATTATTATAAATACTGTAACATTTATTGATAATATTATTAATAATAATAATGTCTAATATTCATTTATAAGAATTATATAAACTGAATTACAAAGTTAAAGTTATTTATTTAAAGTATATTAGTGATCTCTAAAACTTTAGCCAGAATTAAAATTGGAATCCTAATTATTTTCAATATACAAAAAAATGACATTTTTTTCCAAAAGCAATTGTTTTGTCAACACAAGCAGAAAGTTTTTTGAATCATTCAATTCGGATGCTTATTTCTCTCAAAAACTGCCATTTCTTGTATATTCAGCTCAGTATCTTTGAAATGGCTGGGCCTGCTTTTGCCAACAACTAATAACCACTTCTCCTAATCATTACTAATTGAATGTTTTTTAGATCATTCAAATCGGATGCTCCGTTCTCTCGAATAATCGATTTCTATTTTCTGCACTCTTTGCTCGTTATCTCCGTAACGGCTGGACCTGCCTTTGCCAAAAACTAATCAGCACATCTCCTTATCAATAGAAATGGAATGTGTTTGAATCATTCACATCGGTTGATCCGTGCGCCCGAAAACGTGAACGAAAAAATGCGGACATACAAAACACACACACACACATCCATTTTTTCTGAGGTATGCCAAAATGTTCAGAAACCTCTAAAACGTGAAGATATGGAAAAAAAATTATTTTCGATTTTTATCGATTTCCTTACCCTATTCGATTCGTTTGATTTACTTACCCTACGGGAAGTTAATACCCTACGGGAAGTTAAAAATAAATAAAAATAAATAAATAACTATAATAATAATAACAAATAAATAGAAATAATAATCATAAAAATTATTAAAAAAAAAATAAATAAAAATTAATAATGATAATCAATATAATAATAGAATAGAAAACTGTTCTATTCAGTTAACTAATTAGTTTATTAAATAAATTAATATAAATTATATGGAAATTTCGAATAGTGCTGAAACTATGTGGTTTGATACCCTATATTAATTCAAACATCTTTACAAATTATATTATTTTGTATCCACTTGCTTATGAAAAAATCATGTTATCGTTTTATATAGAATGTTCAAGAGATCTCGACCTTTCCTTCTATTTATCTAAGAGCTTGTTTTATTTGCGTACATTTGTTTAATATAATAATCTTCAAACATCGTCCCCCTTGTTTCTGGCGAAAGCCCGGAGCAGGGCGGAGTCCCGCGCGATTTTTAACCGAAGTGTCACTTAAAGAAACACGCAGCGATCATCTGCGCCACAGTGTTGCAAACACCCGCGGTTGCTTACTTTGCCTACTGCTACGCACACTGGATTTAATCCGATCCATAGATAAGTAAACAATATTCTCAAATCACCGTGAAACGTTGACGGCGTTAGAACGGCGATCGTCGAAACAAGCAATAAGTCCGCACACGTGTCGGGCACGAGGCAGCGTTACGCTAATATCCCGGTCGTAACGCTTCAGCCCTCACACCGTAGACATCACTGCGTCAACCCACTACTTTGAAAAAGGCCCGGATTTTAATTCTCATTCATTTTGCAATAAAATCCAAACGGGACAAGCTGAAATCTGTTCCTTGAAATGAGCTTTTCATGAGAATCGGTAAAAAATAGTCAGATGAATAAATTTTATAAAATGTTATATTTTTTAAATTCGTTCAATATTTTTATTGATCACTGATTTCATTTGGTAATAAAATTCTACAGAAACCTCTTAAGAACCGTAGCTATTCATCAGTTTTATACACAGTTCTTTAAAAAATAGGCAAAACTAGCTGTAAGTGGAATTCTGTCTTAAGGCAATTAAGGCATCGTGCCTTAAGGCGAATTGCTGGAACTTCCCGTACCAAAAATTATTATTTTTTTAAAAACAATTAACATTTTTGAAAAAGTTTTACTTCGAAAAAATAAGATTTTTGAGTAACTATAAATTGGACAAAAAATTACTTTTTTTTGAAAAAAAAAAATTTTTTTTTTATTTTGACATATTTTGGAAGATCTAAACTTTTTTTCAAAGCAATCGTACTGCTTTAACTTCATAAAGACGAACTATCAAAGCGCGTAAGCGCCGCAACGCCGTCTAACGCGTAAACATTGGTACGGAACCTATAGGAATGTAAACCAAATTTATACTTATTGTTAAAATCTCTAAAAAATATCTGATAATTTGATGTGCATATGTCTAATGATCATTTTTGACCGCCAAATGGCATTTTTTTTTTACTTTTTTCATTAGATCTCCGAAACCGCTAGACCTGCCTTTATGAAAATTTGATCGGTTCTTCATCTTGTCAATACAAGTAAAATGTTTTTTGAATTATTAAAATCGGACGCTCCGTTTTCTGAAAAACTGAGTTATCGTTTTTGGCACTTTTTGCCCCGTATCTTCGGAACGGCTAGACCTGCCTTTGCCAAAAACTAATCAGCACGTCTCCTTATCAATAC